CTTCCTGAATGCCCCTGGCGCAGGGCCCCGCCATGTTCATTCCTCCTTTTCACTACTCTCCTGCCCAGCGGCTGCTCTGACTGCTCCGCCTTTCCTTTCGCTGCGCCACCCCACTGCACCGCCATCCCCCGACTGATGTTGCTTCCCGTTTGCCCGATTCTGCTAAGAGTCGGACGTGCTACATGCCCTCCAGTCTGCCATCTCCATTTGCGATTGTACCTGGTGCTCTAACCCATCTGGGTTCTTCCCTCCTACCTGCGCTCCCCGACTACTCTGGCAGCTCCGCCTCGCCTGTCACTGTGCTATTCCGCTGCCCCCGTTGTGCTGCCCTGCTGCCTCTTACTCCCCTTACCACAACGTCCCTCCTTCCTCGGCATGCACCCGACACAAACCCGCGTCCACGTTCACTCCCATTCCCTCACTCTCCTTCGTTCTCACTCACGCCCGTCCCCGGCCCCGCTCTACTCAGCCGCGGTAGTCCCACAGTACTGTTGCGATCAGCCCTTCCGGTTTTGCGTGGTCCGACAATGCTCAAGCACCCAAAAACAAACAATCGGTTGCCGGACCCCCCCGACAATTTATACCGGTGGCTCTCACGCGGGGGCCAGGCTAATTTCCTCCGTTTCGCTCCAATTTTTACGGTTGTCCCGAAGGGCTCTGACCGGGCCAGTGCCCCGCTATACTGCCAAAGGCCAAACGGCCTTCCTCCGAACCCGCGCTGCCTCCCCAGGCAGTCCAAATTATGTGGTCGTACCCGCCAAGCCCCATCATCGAGGCCAGACGCGGGCCTGTATCCCAACAGTTCATGAGTGTACCCGTTCAGCTAGGTCTTTGGGTATTAATTATACCCACGGTACCACGTCCCAAGGCGACACGGGACGTGGTCAAAAATTAGAAAGGAAGTATATATATATATATATATATATATATATATATATATAAAAACTACGACTTCGGCGCAGTCATGAAAACAGTTTACAGTTGCACTTCAAACAACCCCTGGGGTACAACACATCCCATGCGACCCTTCACCGGCCCAGGTATCGCGTTCCGTTTCGGGACGCGAGTAAAAGGATGAAAATTAAAACAAAAATAGCAAGAAGTATGAGAAAATAAAATAAAGCTTAATAAATAAATAAATAAAAAACAATACCGAAAAAAGGGAGAGGGACTACAAACACCCCGCCTCCCCCGTGGGTCGGGCCCGTCGCCGCGCCCATTGACAAAACTTGAGGGGGATAGCCCTGTTGGGCCCTCAACCCCTCAGGTTTTGCTCCACGCTGCTCCGCTGCCGCTGCGCTGACGCCCTGCTATCCCCGGACCTCCGTATCGTCAACCCAATGCCGTAACCTATAAGGCTAAGCCCAAGCTTGGGACTAATCTCCTCGGAGTGCCATATAAGGCGGTACGGCGCTGCGCTCAGGGCCAGGGAAATTGGCCTGAGCCTCATCTCAGCCTACAACCGTGCGCGCGGCCGCCCAGCATCTGCGCCGACTTACCAATCTGTACCACGGCCGCCACTCGCGCCACTCTGCGTGCCAAGACCTACTGCAGTCACACTGTTGCCTTCGTCGCTGCCGCCGAGGTCGTCCACCGTACGCACGCGTAACTCAATCAAACGTATAAACAAGGGAAAAATAACCTTAAATCCTAGTCTAATCAAGAATAAACAAAAATAACAATAAAGATAAAAATAGAAATGAACCGACTGGCGGCCGCGCCGACTTTATAATCAACGATAGAAACGGAATCACGCGCGCCTCAAACCTGTGCGCCCACACACTCTTTGTTCTAGTCAACCATCCAGTCAACATAAACCACTGGCGCAACAACGCCTCACGCCAAATACTTAAACTTTCAACCTCACTTCCTGTCGCTTGCAAAAACCAGCGCGGATACCCTTGTAAGGGTATTCGCACCGACACCGCTCTATCTCCCACTTCAACCCTTTCCCTAAAATGTACACCGTTTGCATTTCGCTTTGGACAGTGATGAAAAAACATGCCTCTGGTGTGTTAATGCATAGTCTTCCAACTACAAACACCCCAGAATAGCAGAACATGCCGGTCGTAAGGCTGCGAAACATCAGTAGTTACTGCCTTTAAACTATCAGTAGTTATGGCAATTTCTTTGTTATGCTTGGAAATATTATGAGCGTCGAAAGAAAACGAATCGGTGCATTTTCATTTCTGGTTGTTGTTGCCAACCATTTGTCTTCAACGCCACATACATGCAGCCGCAAGTTTCGGGGGTACGGAGTAAAGTAAAGGCCTGCACTGGTTCATTTTTTCTTGTGCATTTTGAGGCTCGACAAGAAAAGAGTTAAGAGGAATAGTGGTTTAAGCTGCCAGTACATGCCCTCAACCTTGCAGAAAATCGCGAGTTGCCAACTGTGAAGTTTTTGCAGCTTGTAGTCCATGTGGCTGGCGGCGGCAAAAAAAAAAAAAAAAAAGTGCACCACTAGCGGTTCAGAAGAGCTTGACGCGTGATGCAGCGAAGGCACAAATGTTTTGCTGATAGTCATGGGTCGAGCATATAGTGGTGACCCCACAAAAAAACTACATCTACAACCTTGGGTGGAACAAATTATCACGTCCTTAACCTTGTCAAAAAAGAAAGAATGTGTACGCCCCGCTAAAATAGAAAAACGGTAGCTATTGGCCGCAAGTTAAACGCCCGCCAAAAGGGAAGACTATGACTATTGACCGCATGCTTTTTTTTTTTTTTTTTGAAGACTTAACCACTATCTAGCAGGAAGAGTAGTGCGAGCACCTCCCCCGACTATGCCAAGCAACAATTGCTGCGATCTATTTGTGGGTAGCCACACCTACTGCAAACCAGGTCCCATAAAATCACACTCATTATAACCAGGCTCATTACCCGGCTTTGACTATAAGACTCGTTAACTTCTCTTTCACTCAGAAGGTAACGGCCTGGTCGTCCTCTGGTTCCCCAAAGTCCCCACCCCTTTAACAGGGGACCACACTTATGATACAACTGGGCCCAACCTGTTTTTTTTTTTTTTTTTTTTTTTTTAAAGCCCAGGGTGTTGTAGAAGCCAAGGACCAGACCCGCAGTGATTGCTGGTAGCGGCAGCCAATGGTTGTGCTGACAGGATAGGCCACCTACCCTACCCATCCCCACGTTAATACTCCCAGCGCACCCCTTGTCCCTACTATCCTACCTCAGTGTGACCAGCACTCAGGACCATCACCCTACCAGTATTGAGGGCAACTTGGACCAGACAGCAGTGACAAGCACCAGGGTTGGGCCAACCTCCCATCCCTAATGGAACCGGAAGCAGACGAACCTTGCCGTACGGGAACTTCGAACGCCAGGCTCATGCAATCTTCTACGGGCCCAATTCAGAGAGTCTACCCAGCAGGATTACCTAAGCAAGGCAGGCCAGCGCCCGCGGACACATCCTACCGTCCTTCCCCTAGCTTACCCAAGGCTAGGCAGAACTCAGACAAGCTGCTGTCTTCGTGGGTCCTTCGCAACATCTGCTGTTTTTGAGATATGGCTGTGTAGAGAGCTGTCTCCTTGGCCACCCCTTCCCCTGTTCCAGGGGTGCCACCGTGCTCGTTGAGCTCGAGTTGCATGACTTGCTTGATAGAGGCTCAACCCCCTGCTTGTGATCAAAGATTTTGGAAGGCGCAGTGAGGGGGGGAGGATCTGAACGAGGGGTGGGAAGAGGGCGGGGAGGGAGAATCGAGGAAAGGGAGGGACGGGGCTCTCGGTGGGGGCTGAGTTCCTACATCTAGAGAGGTGGAGGGCGGTTGGGGGTAACAGGGGGGCGGTGAGGGGGGGAGAGGAGGTTGGGTAGTTTCGAGGGCCAGGGCTGGGTGTGGGGAGGTGGACGGTGGAGGGGGCGGAAGGGTGGACGTCGACGCGAACAGGTCCGGCGGGAAGGGCGGGTCCCGTAGCCCGAGCTGTTGGGAGTCGGTGGACGACATGGGGCACTGTGGGGGAGGAGGGTTGGCTGGGGGTGTCGAGTGTGGGAGAGGAGGCCAGGTTGGACACGGGGAAGGAGCGGAGGGCAGGGAGGGGATATGTGGGGGTGGTGGGGGAGTAGGTGTCGGTGGGGGTAGGTCGAGCGGGAGGGGTGGATGTGGAACCCCCGTGCATTGGGGCCCTGTAAGCGGTGCCAGTGGCGGGGTTTGGGGCCCGGCTGGGAGTGCAGTGAGCGCCCTGTCATTGTGGTTGGGCACCGGCGTGTGGAAGCACAAGCGCCAAAGTAGCCAGTTCTTTCATATAAGCTGTCCCGAACGTCGCCTACCTTCCTGTGAGGGTCTAGCCACTATTCTTTGAAGGTGAGGGCCTGCCTCGCAGTCTGCTCAGATGTGGAGGAGAGGTCCTTCTTGAGTTTTCCCCCGGCCTTGGCTGATTAGCCCTTATACCCTCAGAAATCTCTGCCGTTGTTTGAGGGAGGGTGAATGAGGAGTCTCTTCGTTGGAAAGTGTTCCAGCCCGCCCAAAGAGAAAGACTGGCGATTGACCCCATGTTTTCCGCCCCGCCGAAAGACAAAGACTGGCGATTGTTCGAAAGTTACACCCCGTATCAACGAGCCTAGCTCAGTTGGCACACCCATGAACTGTTGAAGTACACACTCAGGTTCAAATCCGGATACAGTCAGATGCTAAGAATAACTGAATTACCTGGGGCCGGTCAGCTTCAGTGAAAAAGAGAAGTTACGCCCCGCCAAACGAGCAAGATTGGCGCTATTGACCGCAATCTATATGCTCCACAAACCCGCGCGCGCCTAAAGACTGACTACTATCGCGCTAAACCCTACAAAAAGACCGCGTACTATGGCCCTAAACCCCGCCAAACGACCAAGGCCCCGTCCTCGGACGGTGGCAGGGGGCAACCGCCCCTGCGGCCTGGCCTGGCTTGGCCTGGCCGATCTTGATTGACTCCCGGAGGGTGCCTTCATTTACCCGCGGCTCGACGAGCGTTTCCAATCTGCAGTGTCTTCCCGTGCCGTTCTAACGAAAGGTACGGGCGGGTGTGTCTGGAGAAGTCCACGTCGCGTCCCGCGAGGGTTGAATATGGCAGTCCGTACTCTGAACTTGGCAGCAGCAGCGGCATTGCCTTCGTCGCCTGCGTTGCGAGTTCCATGGTCCTCCCTGTGTCGAAGCCAACCTCCTGTCATCGCCTGTTGCCGCAGCCAGTGGACTCGCGCGTGCTCTCGACTTGGCTCAGCTGTCGGTGCTTCTCCTTCCTCAAATCGCGCGCGCGCGCAGACTCAGCCGCTGATCGATCCTCTTTGCTTACGTTTTGGCACCGGATCCGCACCTCAGGTTCCACTTCGCCGTCTTCTTCTTCCTCGTCGTGGGCAGCAGCCGACGCTGCGCCGAGGGGGCCCGCTCGACGTGCTTGGTCCCCATAGCTGCCCGCGTTCTTTCCAGGTGGCCACGTGGTCAGCTAACGACTACGTGGCGATACCTGCCGCTACCACGTCATCAGGCTGTTGGGATCAACGTCACTCAGGGAACGGCTTGGAAGGGTGGGTGAGGAGGAGTAGGAGTGATACCTGTCCCAGGTGTTCTTTCCCGCGATCTCTCTTTCCCGCGCTTTCGGGTCATCTCGGGCGAATATCTTCTCCTTCTGCTCGGATTCTGCCGACGCAAAGTGTGGCACTCGGAAATTGCCGAGGACGACGGAGAGGAAGAGGGGCTGTTATCAAGCCCGTCGTTGACTCGTCGAGTCGAACGCATCGAGCGGTGGGAGATCGTCGTCGGAGGAGGTGGGAGTCTGGCTGCGCTATCGAAGCCACTGGCACCGGGCGCGTAGGTAATTATACAAGCAGTCGGTGGTTCGAGACCCGCAAGCAACGGCAGCAGGAGCTGCGGCGGTCGCCCGCTGATTGTTACCGACACGTGTCGACATCACCGTCGACGATGGCGTCGGCAAAGTTAGAGAGAGGGGAGGGGGATGATGGGGGGAAACAGGGGGAGAGTGACTTGCGCTTGTCCGCGGCAGAAGGGGAGAAAGAGCTGTCGGCCCTGGAACAGAAGAAAGCCAACAGATTAGTCGACGAACAGAGTCCTTACCTGCTGCAACATGCGTATAACCCTGTGGACTGGTGAGTTCATCTATTCGATTCGAAGCTCGGTATGTTCTATTCTATTTTGCTATCTCAGAATAACAATGTTGTATTGAGAATAATACTAGTAATTTAGTGAATTTGATTTAGTGAATTTGTCGTTGTCGTTGTCGTTGTTGTGATCGAGGTGATCTCTGCTTTCCTCTTTTCTTCTTTTGTTTTTCAATCGCTCCTTTTTTTTCGCTGTCCTACTTTTCGATTTCGATATATGTGTGGTGTGTTTTGTTCAAGGTCGGCTCGCAAAAGGGCCTTTTGCTGAGAAATGTGGCATTTAACGCGCTGCTCCTGTCAGAAATGCATATAGACATGTATTCCGTTGGTATTCACGGGAATGTACCCGGTCGTTTTGTTGTCCACGTACGTACATGCTCAGAGGGGCACTGAGCTCATTTCAGAAAACATTCGCCTGTGATGCACATAGACATGTATTCCGTTGGTATTCACGGGAATGTACCCGGTCGTTTTATTGTCCTTGTCCACGTACGTACATGCTCAGAGGGGCACTGAGCTCATTTCAGAAAACATTCGCCTGTGCGCCCCTTTCTCCCTGTTTTCTACGTTTATTCATACGTATGTATGTCGTCATTGTTTCTCCATCCTATGTATGCATGTTCATACTGGTGGTCCATATATACCCCCCAATCCAAATTCCCCCTTCCTTCCCCCTCTCTCCCCCCCGGCGGTCCGATTAAATGCTCCAATTTCGTTGCAAGATCACTTCTAGTTGACTTATAGTGGATTGGAGAGGTTACCACCATCTTCCCCCGAATACAGCGCACCTTCTTCATGACTGTATCGGACCGAAACATATCCGGCTAGCATTCATGATGAGGGCGCGTTGAGTTCACGGCAAGCTTCCCCCCCCCCGCCACCCACCACCACCATGAAATTTGGACCATTTCTCGATTTATACGTGTCATCTTTGCGCAGGGACCATGCTAATCTTCCTTTCTCTGTATCGTTGCCATTTTAATGGGTGTCTCGAAGGACGAAATGTGCTCTTGGAGAAAAGTGAAAAATAAAACATTCTGCTCTGCCTTTCTCGGCCTTTTGGCTAAGATCAAGTGTAGTATCTGTTCTGATCAGTTTAATATCTGATCCGTGGTCCATCGGACCATACGATATTAAATTAATTTTTCTGGGCCACGGGGTCATACGGGTAAGCTTGCTTACTCGACCCCTCCAGCGTTGCCTCTGTATTGCACTGCTGCAGAGTGCGGCGCAGCCCTCCCCCTCGGAAAAAAAAAAAAGAAGAAATTCTGCTCTTGGATGCGTACGTACTGTAATTCATTGTGTGCCTCCAGAGTCCCAACGGACTTAATTGGCTGGAGCCATGCAGCGATCGATGGATGGATCTTAACCGTAAATACGTCATTATTCATGCATGGCGGCTGGTTGTTACTGAAAAATCCCCCCTATGAGCGTACACGTTCGTTCAAATTTTTTGTGAGCGCCTTGAGGGCTCTGTCGAACTCATCTATGGGGCAACACATGTGTATGTGGCGTTCACTTTTTTTTCTTTTTTTCTTTTTCTTTTCTTTTGCCTGCTTTTTCTTTTCCGCAAAAAATCTCCCGTATGTGCGCACACACGTATGTGCAAACCTGTAAGTGCGTTCATGGGCGAGGTCCCACTAGCAAAGAGGATTGAATTGAAAGTCTGAATCTGGACGTGTGTATGGAGAGATGCAGAATACCTTCATTGTTCTGCTTTGCGGCATCTCTGCGTAAAACACACCCAGATTCAGGATCTTAATCCGATCCTCTTTGCTAGTGGGATCTCGCTCCAGGGCTGTCGAACTCATCTATGGGGCAACACGTGTGTGTGTAGGCCATCAGGCTACGTGTCAGACCCCCTTCTTTTTTTCTTCTTTATCTTTTCTTCTTTTTCTTGCTTCGTTTACTGAAAATCTCCTGGGGTTCCGCCCCCCCCCCAAAATAATAAAATAAAAATCTCCTGGGGTCCCTCGGGACATCCGTTAAAATTGGAACCTGCGCAGAGAAAGAAGATTAACATGCCCCCTGCGCAAGGATGACATGACACGCATAA